GGGTTGTTCCCCTCATTTACTCTTGGGCTTAGGCGCTCACCTATCCCACTTTTTGCTCAGGGTACAGCTGAAGGAGAGCTCTTTCTGGATGATGGGCACACATTCAACTATCAGACTCGCCAAGAGTTCCTGCTGCGTCGATTCTCATTCTCTGGCAACACCCTTGTCTCCAGGTAATGGAGTACCCATTCTTCCTTGGCTGCCTTTGCTGGGGCCTGTTCTTTTCGGGGGCTCCTAGTTCGCTGTGCTCTTTTCTCACATCCTGACCTTGCTTTGGGTCTCCTCCTTCTGACATTTTTTCCCCCGATGGGCATCTGCTTTTGTCATCTCCAGCTCAGCAGACCCTGAAGGACACTTTGAGACACCAATCTGGATTGAGCGAGTGGTGATTATAGGGGCTGGAAAGCCAGCAGCTGTGGTACTCCAGAAAAAAGGTGAGTGACCATTCTGGCCCCCAGGATGGGGGAAGGAGGGAAGACAGGGCGGGTTTGGGGATGGCCTTGCCTGTAGGAACATATGGTATAGCTCATTGGTATGACCATGGCACTCTTTTTCCTTCCTCCTCCAGGATCTCCGGAAAGCCGCTTGTCCTTCCAGCATGACCCTGAGACTTCTGTGTTGGTCCTGCGCAAGCCTGGCGTCAATGTGGCATCTGATTGGAGTATTCACCTGCGATAACCCAAGGGACATTCTGGGTTGGGGTAGGGATGGAGAGCAGTAGTGGTGAGAGTTATTCTTTCTTCTGCCTTGGAGTTCAGCCCTCCCCAGACTTCACATATCCTAGTCTAAGACCCAGATTCTGCCAACATTTGGGTAGGATGAGAGGACTGACCCTGGGCTCCAAATTCCTCTTGTGATCTCCTGACCTCTCCCACTCCGATGATACCAAGCCTTTCCCTTCATGCACCCAACATCCAGTTGCTCTAACTGGAGCACACTCACTTATGAAGACCTGGAAACCACCGGGCCCTTGCCGTCCCTTCTCTTTCTCTTATTTAGGGGCCCTGAACTCCCCCAGACTATCTATTCATACCTCTTGTATGTTGATGCCATTTCTTGAAGATGAGGGCAATGAGTTAGGGCTCCTTTTTTCCTTCCCTCCCACCAGATTGCTCTCCTTTCATTTATTCCTCCAGGATCTACTCTTGTCAGCCCTCCCTTTTTTATGCCCCACTGATACACTGGGACCACCCCTTACCTGGTGCGGGATGAATGGATCAAAGGAGTGAGGTTGCTAAAGAACGTCCTTTTCCCTCTCATTCCATCCTTTTTCTCTTCCTGATTCCTTGTAGAGCTGCTGCAGTTCTGAGGGGCAGTTCTACCTCCTCTGTCCCTTGGGGGAAAGAAGTTTCCACATCTCTCAAGAGGGGATGGGCATTAAACTTCTTTTCCTCCCTTTTTGTCCCCTGTGAGGGGCATTTAAGATGGAGAAATCAGTTGTGGTTTCATTGAATCATGGTCACCTGTATTTATTGCTGGGAGAAGCCTGAGGGTGGGGGGAGATGATCATGTGTGCTTGGGGTTGGCCAGAAGCCCTAGGTTGGGGGTTGGGGGAGGACTAATGGGGAGCCAGGGGGAATATTTGTGGGTATTTTTTTTACTTCCTCTTGGTTCCCAGCTGTGACAGGTTTTGATAAAAGGAGAAACAATAAAGGGATAAACCATAAATAACTGGTGGTAGTCTGGATTCTATTTCTAGCCTGAGCCACAGACCCTAGAAGCCTAGACCTTACATTTTCTCTTCCCCTCTGCTCCCCGCCCCCTCCTCCCCTCTTCTTTCACTTGCTTTCTTTCCTTCCTTTCCCTTTTTTTTTTTTTTTTTTTGAGACTGAGTCTCACTCTTGTCCAGGCTGGAGTGCAGTGACACAATTTTCTCTTCCCCTCTGCTCCCCGCCCCTCTCCTCCCCTCTTCTTTCACTTGCTTGCTTTCCTTCCTTTCCCTTTTTTTTTTTTTTTTTTTGAGGCGGAGTTTCACTCATGTTACCCAGGCTGGAGTGCAATGGCGCGATCTCGGCTCACCGCAACCTCCGCCTCCTGGGTTCAGGCAATTCTCCTGCCTCAGCCTCCTGAGTAGCTGGGATTACAGGCACGTGCCACCATGCCCAGCTAATTTTTTGTATTTTTAGTAGAGACGGGGTTTCACCACGTTGACCAGGATGGTCTCGATCTTTTGACCTCGTGATCCACCCGCCTCGGCCTCCCAAAGTGCTGGGATTACAGGCTTGAGCCACCGCGCCCAGCAATTTTTGTATTTTTAATAGAGATGGGGCTTCGCCATGTTGGCTAGGCTGGTCTTGAACTCCTGACCTCAGATGATTTGCCCATCTCAGACTCCGAAAGTTCTGGGATTACAGGCGTGAACCACTGCACCCCACAGGAAACAACTTTAATACTTCTTATGATACTTCAAATAAAATTTGTATTCTCTACTGGTCCTAAGTTTTATGGCTCTTATATTCCTTTCCGACTTCATCTCTTGTCAGCTGCCCCTTTCTGACTCCACTCAGAGCTACGCTCAACTTCTAACAGTTCCTGGAACACAGTAAGCTCCTTTTCCCCGTCTCTCTCACAGAGAGAGCAAAACTGTGAATGATTGAATATACCAAGCTGTTGAATATATCTTTCCTTTTCTTTCCTATCTCCTCCTCTCCTTTCCTTACTGTATCTGAACACAGTTCAATTTCTTTCTCTTTTTTTTTTTTTTTCTGAGACGGAGTCTTGCCTCACTGCAACCTCCGCCTCCCAGGTTTAAGCAATTCTTCTGACTCAGCCTCCCAAGTAGTTGTGACTACACGCATGTGCCATCACACCCAGCTAGTTTTAGTATTTTTAGTACAGACAAGGTTTCATCATGTTGGCCAGGCTGGTCTCAAACTCCTGACCTCAAATGATCTGCCCACCTCAGCCTCCCAAAGTGTTGGGATTACAGGTGCGAGCCATCATGCCCGCAATTTCACGCCAGTTCAATTTCAAGAGAAAACTTTTCCTGTGTTTAAAATGACATTGGCGGGGCATGGTGGCTCATGACTGTAATCCCAACACTTTGGGAGGCCGAGGCGGGTGGATCACTTGAGCCCAGGAGTTGGAGGCCAGCCTAGGCAAAATGGCAAAACTCTGTTTCTACAAAAAATAAAAGACTTTGCTGGCCATGATGGCATGCACCTATAGTCCCAGCTCCCTGGGAGGCTTAGGTGGGAAGATCACCTGAGCCCAGAAGGTTCAGGCTGCAATAAGCAGTGGTCGCGCCACTGCACTCCAGCCTGGGTGGCAGAAAGAGACCATGCCTCAAGAAAACAAATGAGGCCAGTTGTGATGGCTTATGCCTTTAATCCCAGCACTTTGGGAGGCCAAGGTGGGTGGACTACCTGAGGTCAGGAGTTTGAGACCAACCTGGCCAACATGGTGAAACCCCATCTCTACTAAAAACACAGAAATCGGCCAGGTGTGGTGGCATGCACCGGTAATCCCAGCTACTTGGGAGGCTGAGGAGAATCACTTGAATCTGGGAAGCAGAGGTTGCAGTGAGCCAAGATCACACCGCTGCACTCCAGCCTGGGCAACAGAGCAAGAGTCCGTCTCAAAAAAAAGAAAACAAACAAACAAAATCACTGGACAGGCTGGGTGCGGTGGCTCACGCCTGTAATCGTAGCACTTTGGGAGGCTGAGGCAGGCAGATCATGAGGTCAGAAGGTCGAGACCATCCTGGCCAATACGGTGAAACCCCGTCTCTACTAAAAATACAAAAAATTAACTGGGCATGGTGGCACGTGCCTGTAGTCCCAGCTACTCAGGAGGCAGGTCCTCAGGATGCTGACACAGGAGAATCACTTGAACTCAGGAGGCGGAGGTTGTAGTGAGCCAATTTGTCTAAAAAAAAAAAAAAAAAAAAAAAAAAACCAGCCAGGCACAGTGGCTCATGCCTGTAATCCTAGCACTTTGGGAGGCCGAGGTAAGTGGATCACCTGAGGTCAGAAGTTCAAGACCAACCTGGCCATCATGGTGAAACCCCATTTTAAAAAAAAACAAAAACAAACAAACAAACAAACAAATGCTGTAGTCAGCCCTAAGCTAAAAAAATAAAAAAAAAAACCAAAACACTGGACATTAAGTGAAATATTGTACAGGGGAAAAAAAAACTGGACATTGTACTTTTTAACTAAATTGCTGACTCCAAGTTCTTAGGCAGGGAAAATAGTAGGTGAGTCTGAAATATATTATTGCTCCAGAAAGCCATGAAGTGCTCAAATACTGTGGTTGTGTCATAAGGACTTAGGGAACAACTTGAAGAAGCTGTAATTGGCCAAACTGGTCATAATTTCAGCATGAAAAAAGTGATAGTAATAAATTATAACATATGTGAAAAAAATCTGTAAATTCATAGTGATAATAAAAAATGGGCAGGGCTCTTCTTTTCTGTTGTTGAGAAATCTTACTCTATCACCCAGGCAGGAGTTCAGTGGTACAATCTTGGCTCACTGCAACCTCCCCCTCCCGGGTTCAAGTTATTCTTCTGCCTCAGCCTCCCAACTAGCTGGGACTATAGTGCAGGCCACCACACCTGGCTAATTTTTTGCATTTTCAGTAAAGAGGGGGTTTTACCATGTTGGCCAGCCTGGCTCGAACTCCTGACCTCAGATGATCTCCTGACCTCACATGATCCCCTGCCCTCAGTTGCCCATAGTGCTGGGATTACAGGAGTGAGCCACCATGCATGGCCTGGGCTCTTCTTAATAGAATGTCATAGGAGGCCGGGCGCGGTGGCTCACGCCTGTAATCCCAGCACTTTGGGAGGCCGAGGCAGGTGGATCACGAGGTCAAGAGATCAAGACCATCCTGGTCAACATGGTGAAACCTCGTCTCTACTAAAAATACAAAAATTCAGCTGGGCATGGTGGCGTGTGCCTGTAATCCCAGCTACTCAGGAGGCTGAGGCAGGAGAATTGCCTGAACCCAGGAGGCGGAGGTTGCGGTGAGCCGAGATCGCGCCATTGCACTCCAGCCTGGGTAATAAGAGCGAAACTCCATCTCAAAAAAAAAAAAGTCATAGGAATAATATGAATGAATGAATGAATGACAGTATTGGAAAATCACCATTTTGAAACATAGTAATAACTAATTCAGGTAAAGATTAACATGGCTACTAAACCATTTGGTGGACCAGGTACAGTGGCTCATGCCGGTAATCCCAAAACTTTGGGAAGCCTAAGTGAGCGGATCATTTCAGGTCAGGAATTCGAGACCAGACTGGCCAACATGGTGAAACTCCATCTCTACTAAAAATACAAAAAAAAAGGCCGGGCGCAGTGGCTCACGCCTGTAATCCCAGCACTTTGGGAGGCCGAGGCGGGTGGATCACGACGTCAAGAGATCGAGACCATCCTGGTCAACATGGTGAAACCCCGTCGCTACTAAAAATACAAAAAATCAGCTGGGCCTGGTGGCGCGTGCCTGTAATCCCAGCTACTCAGGAGGCTGAGGCAGGAGAATTGCCTGAACCCAGGCTGGAGTGCAATGGCGCGATCTCGGCTCACCGCAACCTCC